ATTATTTTTAGAATCATATTGATTTAGTATATCTGACATTTCGAGACTAGTCGTAGTAATAAATAGATAGCAGTAAGAAAAGCAGATGCTTCGTTTGCCTTTTCCCTTTACTCTACTAATAGGCATACATTACAGATATTGCACAAGAATCGCGTCTATAATGGAAGAGTTATACACATGTCAGCGATTCACCAGAAAAGATTCTTTTTATCAGAAAAAAAAGTAGCAGAAAAGAAACGAAAAAACAAATCCAATTGTTTTTTTCTACCACCACACATGATGTCGAACTATGATAAATCTGTACAATCTTAACGAGTATAAAAATCTAAAACTAGTGATATAAGGATCAATCGTAGAACTGTTTCCATTTTGTTACTTCTTCTCTTTTTTGTTTTCTTTCTTGCACATTGTCGACTGCTGTTGACGAAAAAAGATTATAAGATCGTACACGTTCTGTTTATTGTACATGAATGCATAGTCTCTTTTCTCGTTGTCGAAAGCAAAAACAAAAAAAATGTATTATACTAAAGCACATCTACGACCAATATTTTATAATTCATTAAATTCATCAAAAGCATGCTTGTCAGATTTTGATAAAGGTAAGAAAACATCTGTCGTCGAGAAAACGAGAGTCTAAATGTGTTCATTGATCAATATATATTATCATTCTGTTTAGCAAAATATTATTAGTATAGTCATGAAATGAAATATAGCAAATATCTATTTCGAGCTCTTGAGTCATTGACTCATCTATTTGAGCGAATATGGAACAGTTGCTATGATTTCGTTATTCTTCTCTGGTTTCTTTTACATCACCACTATCAATTCATAGCATTTTGGAAAAAACAAGAGGTTACTCAGATTTGTTTGAAGGTGAGTAAAAAAGTGCACAACCCGACCCCTTGCCACAGTCAGTTTTCCTCTAATAACTGTCATGGAAATGAACGTATGAGCAAGAGCTACGCATCGTGTTTCCATATACCCTAACTGCAGATCTTTTGGAAGAGGATCAACGTATGTGTAGTTCTGGTATTTCGAATCTAAACAAATGTCACGAGTCCCCTGGAAGTTTGCTGTTATGCAAAGACGATAAAACAGATCATTCACACGACAATCGTGAACGTTTGTATCATGTTCTAATACAACTTTCACAGCTGAAAATCTGCACATTCTTGAACAACATGCGCATTCAATCCATCTTTCTCTTATTTTCTCACGGTACCTATATCAAAAGAAGACTAATTCTAAATATCACTCACTCAAAAGCTCTAGTTCACAGCAAAGGAGGTACGATACACACACTTTTCTCTAAGCTTTTCACTGATTTTATAATACGTATTGTTCTTCTTTCTATCATCCATCACGACTGTCAAGGAATACGTAAGTTATGTAGTTATATGAGACCAGAGCAGATTATAGTAAAAAGAGAAGAAAAGGAAGAAAGTACTTTTTTATATTTATTTAAATTATTTTTCACAGCTCTAATCACTCAATATTTTTGATGGTTGAGCGAGCCATATACGATAAAACCTCGTTTACCACAACATTCATGAACAAATAATTTCATATCACCAGTATCTTCAAACTAAAACATTTCCATTAACTCTTTTTTCTTCACTGTAAACTTCACCACTTCCTCAATGTTTTCATCATCAATAATCATCTGGAGAAAATGAGAATATGGAAGCGATTCCACAATGAAGAAAGCATCGAATATACCCTCATGTATATTGATTAATAGACTTCTTTTTTTTAATTTAGTAATATTTTAATGTAACCAGATGAGAGCATTAAATGCACTTGAACCCACATCCTGTAGTCTTTCTAAACGATTATTCATTATCTAAAAAGACAGAAATTACGGATTTATGACTTAACGCGTTCTTATCTGAGAATGGAATAAAAACTTAATAAAACATTATTCAGGAAATAAAACATTTCCATCGCCTCTTCAATGAAAATTTGCATCTCAACACGTTTGGAAAGTATTATAAACTTCATGTCTAATTGTGTTTATTACAGATTTTGATTGAACACTCAATGTTGACAAGCAAAGTCAACGAAGAAAATCAACAAATACTGCGTGAAGCACTGGATCACTTATCAGATATTTAAAAATGCTTCTATAAGTATTTATTGTTAGCTATCCATGAAATATTTATATTATCGTTGATATCAAAACTGTAAGTATACAAAATCTCGTGAAACTAAGCAAAATATCTATTTCTAGTTTTTATTTGAAGAGTAAAGCGACTGATGTCGGTATCTATGTTAATGGAAAACCCTTTATTAGTTAAACAAATTTGACTGTTATAAAGAATATACAAGGTAGAAACAGCAATTTTTTACTCAAGTTTAGTGAGTCGATACGGAATACGAGCACAACCATTCTGGGGATAAAGATAATGTTTTGTGTGGAGCGAAAACAAAATTGCAAGTAACAATGACTCAAAGTGGTCTACATGATGTTTTGCTCTTATGGCGCTACTCCATGTTTACCAGTGCCAATATCCTGCTGATACACCACAACAGTAAGATGTGTTCACTTTATTTTTCAAATACTGATTAGTCGTAGGATTCCTTTCTTACTCTAAAACTCTACCAAGAGTTCTGTTATTAGTCACTGTTAGTCCAGAAAGTCAATTATCTATAATCAGACAATGAAAAAGCGCCTATCACGGTTTACAGCGTACATTTGGAGCTCGTTCCACGAAAAAGCTTAAGTTTGACTTCGGTCAAACTTAAGTCAAAAAGTGCCACTCTAAAATTCGGAGTTAGGGTCGAAAGCTGAGTCGAATGTTAGATGTTTCGAAATTTTTCGTTGATTATCATTGTTTGATGAAAATCTCAGTAATTTTTCGACGTGAACATTCGGAACAAAGGTGGTCGGATAGGGTAAAAAAGTATATCATTCGTCAACGAAAAATTTCGAAACATCTAACATTCGACTCAGTTTTCGGCCCTAACTCCGAATATGATATTTTTATTGCATAAAAGAGTGAGTTTTGATGAAAAAAATAGAGAATGACGGGCAGAATTCCGATATTTTCGCTCCTGAATCAGAAAAAATCTACTTTCTCAGGAACGAAACAAATTTAAAAAAAAAACGATGCGTACTTTTGTAGTACAAATCGAGATCGATCGAATAGTGCAAGAATCAGAACTCTATCCCTTAACACAAAAGACTAGACAGCTTTTTGCGGTGGGAGCTTCGCTTTGGAGCTATGGTTGTTAACGAATTTTTCCTGCAATGACATTATGTACGGAAACCTTCGGAAATACATTTCTGAGTTTAGTTTTCAATGCTGAATTCGAAAAACAATGTTTGAAAGCTTCAAAATACTCAACATGAAGGTTTTTCTCGATTTTGAGGCCCTCACAGTATTTCGAACGTTTCTCCGTGAAAACGTGCACTGTGAAGGCTAAAATGTAATACTCTTGATCGGCGTGAAATTCTCTATCGAATGGTGTATAAGAAAACCAAATATAAAATAGTGCTCTAACTAGCCATTACATACATTCTAGCCATCTTCAGTTATTCGCAAGTTTTCAAAGTATGTATGATAATAAAATAGGAAAAATTCATTGAGAGTTTGATTAGTGGCTAAGAAATTCAGAAAAATCGGCTATTTCAGCTGTATTGTACTCGTATACGTCCCGAGTGAATAACGAAAAATGTTGTCTATAAAATTCCATTTGACTCAAATAACCAAAAATATAGACATTTCTTTATAACACAATAGACTTGATTAAAAAAAAATATGACTTTTTCAAATATGTTTAATTGATGGCAAGTTCTTATGATGATTGATCGTCAACGGTAAAAAATATAGTATAGTATAGTAGCCAAACAGCTGATGGTAACAATTGATGCAAAAATTAACTTTTGCTTATGTTTACGGATAAACAAATTGTAGATAATTTCACTTATTCTGATTAACGGTAAAATAAATTTTGCTTGCCACGGATGTTTAATTCGATACTTTTCATCAACAGCAAAAATAACTTTTAACATTGTCAGTTCCATAACCGACAACACTATTACATTATCAATTATATAAGGCAACATTCGTCGCCATAATTCATCAAACACAAAACTATAATGAAAACTGGTCGCTTCTGTTAGACTTATACGGAAATAACATTGATTTTTCATTTTTGGACTAATGTTACTTAGTTCACTGGATTCGAATAACTCTTCATCACATAACGGTCCACGATTTTCTGGTACATCGGTCATGAGTGTTTTTGTTAGACCATATTTGTGTATTACAAATAAATAACGATTATAGACCATCTTGTTGCAAAGTTTAATTGAAAGATTAATCATCGACGACTTATTTTTAAACAAATAATTTATTAGATGATCATCGAGTAATAGAAATTGTTTTACAACTGGCCAATGAAACTGAATATTACAGTTAAAGAAATGAAGTGGACGAAAAATATCGGCGATATCAATGCCGTTCAAATCAATCTGCTCACCACATGTGTTGTTTAAAAATGTTCGTCGCCAGTTAGCCCATCAAGACTTTTCCTCACTCTCATTTGCCAACAAATTCCAACACATTTCCTTTAATGATGAATATTCCTTTTCTGTACACGTATGTGAACTTATCGAAATTTGCTGCATTTGTCTCCATTGAACGAAATGCCTCAACCGTCTCTGAATAAGGTTCTTTAAATAAATCTAAAAATTTTCGTGGTTTTAGTTCTGTCGTTTCAGGCTCATGTTGCATCGACGGAACATAAACGTCATTTGTTAGAATATCGTACGAATTTTTGACAACGTGCTCTGTGTATTCGTCCAACTGATTAAAAGCATCAATGAAATAATGTTTACATACACGAGATTTTAGTTTCCCTTTTGTATAATCAATAAAATATTTTATCAACTCAATTGCAACTTGTTGTTCATCCTGTACATTTGAAAAGATTCCATCAGAATTATATTCTTCGCACATCCATAAAACAATGGTTTTGATTACATACGACTTAATATGTATTTCATTTTGTCGAAAATATTTATAGTAGATACTGCGAGCAATACCATTTAAAATCTTTTCTTCTTGAGATCGTAGTTCAGCTAGTTTTGATCCGATAAAAGGCGATACTGTAAGAATATCCATCAGCAAAAGACTTTCTTTGCTTGTCCCTCCGGGTCATTTATTGTTGGCCGTTTAATAAACGCGTCTGTCCTCGAAAATGAATAAATGGATTTTAAAGGCACATTCCAGAGCACATGCGATATAACCTGTTATAAGACATTCAATGTCTACGAAACATGTCCATTCGATACAGTTTTCCTGAAAGAGGTACTTTAACGTTAAGTTCCCATGTCAGAGATTCAATAACTCTCAGTAGAACATATTGTGAGGTTTTGAGGGGTATTGCTAAAAGACGCGAACAGCTACGAACAGCCACGAACACCCACGAACACCCCCAAATTAAAATCTGAGTTAGCCAATCAATAGAGCTCGTCGAGCTGAGTATAGCAACGTCTAACGAACACCCAAAAAACTTTTTATAGTTTCGCTTTTTAAACATATATTTTGAATGAACGCCCACGAACATCCACGAACACACAGAAGAAAGGG